GTTCAAGGATAGTGACCACAGACATGACCACAAGTAAAAAGTCTTATCTGTACTACAAGTTTTATTAAAGCAATAAGTAAAGTTACAATGATGTATGTATATATAAATCATACAAAAAACATGCAGTGACTAAGACTGTAGTCATACTCACATCCTCAAAGATATTCTAGGGTCTGATTGATCTCTCAACAGACAACCATTGACAGACATATGGTTCGTGCTTGGGCTCTCCCGTGGGGGTCATCCCTTGGGGTCATCCCACTTTTTCTCAACCAGTGAACCTCTTTTGTATTGTTTTTCTGACCGTGCATAACACCTTATGCATATACATATACTTCTTTTCCTTATCTGTACTTCCACAGCTCATGAATATTGGGGTGTCAAGTTTTTCATAGATTGTTTCTTAGTTCCTCTTATTCTCATTAGTATCTATGCACAACATGTACCCTGTGGTCAGGATAGGACATTCCATAATATTACAATCAGGTGTCTCGTGATCTTGCACAGTTCATTGTGGTTTATTGAAATCTAGTTTTCTGTAACATTACCTATTAGCATATCTTTCACAGTAATCTCTTAACCTGACTGGCATAGGGTTATTCCTATGTTCCCCACTCATGTCAAGCATTCTTAAGATCAAGGCCTAGTATGGCTAAACTAAAATGTTACAGGCCTCAGCCTTTAACCCTTGCATTCCAGCCATGTTTTACTTATATACCTAATACACAGGTTTCAGAAGGGTAGCCGTGTTAGTCTGTATCAGCAAAAACAACGAGGAGTCCTTGTGGCACCTTAGAGACTAACAAATTAATTTGGGCATAAGCTTTCGTTGGCCAACATTTTTATGGCTGGCTTAGAACAATGTTTCCTCAGCTCTCGTCCCCTAGTGCCCCTATTCTACTTGCGCTACATTGATGACATCTTCATCTTCTGGACCCATGGGAAGGAGGCCCTTGAGGAATTCCATCAGGATTTCAACAATTTCCACCCCACCATCAACCTCAGCCTGGACCAGTCCACACAAGAGATCCACTTCCTGGACACTACAGTGCAAATAAGCGATGGTCACATAAACACCATCCTATACCAGAAACCTACTGACCGCTATACTTATCTACATGCCTCCAGCTTTCATCCAGACCACATTATACGATCCATTGTCTACAGCCAAGCCCTACGATACAACCGCATTTGTGCCAATCCCTCAGACAGAGACAAACACCTACAGGATCTCTATCAAGCGTTCTTAAAACTACAATATCCACCTGGGGAAGTGAAGAAACAGATTGACAGAGCCAGAAGGGTACCCAGAAGTCACCTACTACAGGACCGGCCCAACAAAGAAAGTAACAGAATGCACTAGCCATCACCTACAGCCCTCAGCTAAAACCTCTCCAGCACATCATCAAGGATCTACAACCTATCCTGAAGGACAATCCCTCACTCTCACAGACCTTGGAAGAAAGGCCAGTCCTCGCTTACAGACAGTCCCCCAACCTGAAACAAATACGCACCAGCAACTACACACCACACAACAAAAACACTAACCCAGGAACCAATCCCTGCAACAAACCCTGTTGCCAACTCTGTCTGCATATCTATTCAAGGAACACCATCATAGGACCTAACCACATCAGTCACACCATCAGGGGCTTGTTCACCTGCATATCTACCAATGTGATATATGCCATCATATGCCAGCAATGCCCCTCTGTCATGTACATTGGCCAAACTGGACAGTCTCTATGCAAAAGAATAAATGGACACAAATCGGACATCAAGAATTGTAATAGTCAAAAAACAGTAGGAGAGCACTTCAATCTCCCTGGACACTCAATAACAGACTTAAAAGTGGCCATTCTTCAAAAAAAAAACCCTTCAAAAACAGACTTCAAGGAGAAACTGCAGAACTGAAATTAATTTGCAAACTTGACACCATCAAATTAGGCCTGAATAAAGACTGGGAGTGGCTGGATCACTACAAAAAATAATTTCCCCTGTGTTGATATTCATACCTTCTTGTCAACTGTTGGGAATAGGCCACATCCACCCTAATTAAATTGGCCTCGTTAGCACTGACCCCCCACTTGGTAAGGCAACTCCCATCTTTTCATCTGCTATATATTTATACTTGCCTACTTTTTTTCACTCCATGCATCTGATGAACTGGGTTATAGCCCACAAAAGCTTATGCCCAAATAAACTTGTTAGTCTCTAAAGTGCCACAAAGACTCCTCACTGTTTTTACCTAATACACAGTCATCATTCCTAAATACTTGCAGTCTTATACTTCTGCAATCCTACAATTTCAGTCTATTTAGCCTACATTGATTATGTATGAAATGGAAATAGCACAATGATAAATGGATGCTAAAAGGAACTAATTGGCTGCAGTTTTAAGAGAACTGTCCATGACGATGCCAAGATCTCTTTCTTGAATGGTAAAAGCTAATTTAGGTCCCATCATTTTGTATGTATAGTAGGGATTATTTTTTCCAATGTGCATTACTTTGCATTTATCAACATTGAATTTCATCTGCTATTTTGTTGCCCCATCACCCAGTTTTATGAGATCCATTGGTAGCTCTTCATAGTTAGTTTTGGATTTAACTGCCTTTAGGAATTTTATAGCCTCTGCAAATGGTTTACCCCTTTTCCAAATAATTTATGAATAGGTTGAACAGCTAGGGTGACCAGATAGCAAATGTGAAAAATCAGGACGTGGGTGGGGGAGGGGGGGTAATAGGTGCCTATATAAGAAAAAGTCCTAAATATCAGGACTGTCCCTATAAAATCGGAACATCTGGTCACCCTATGAACAGCACTGATCCCAGTACAGATTCTTGGGAGACCCCCCACTATTTACTTTTCTACATTCTGAAAACTGACCTTTATTTCTACCGTTTGTTTCCTATCTTTGAAACAGTTGCTGAGCCAAGAGAGGGCCTTTCCTCTTATCCCAAGACTGGTTACTTTGCTTAAGAGTCTTTGGTGTGGGACTTTGTCAAAGGCTTTCTAAAAGTCCAAGTAGACTGTATTAGCTGAATCATGCTTGTCCACATGTTTGTTGACATCTTTAAATAATTTGAATAGATTGGTGAGGAATAATTTCCCCTTACAAAAGCCCTTTTGACTCTTCCCAAATGTATCATGTTCATCTGTGTGTCTGATAATTCTGTTCTTTACTATAGTTTTAACCAATATTTTTAAAGTTCAAAAGGAACCAGGTTAGTTACAAATATATAAAGAGATTATTATTATTCCACCAGTTTCTCACCTCTTACATATCACCTATATAACATGAAGTTATGGTGTGATATGAAGGTTTTATCTGCATATGTTTGTGATGGCCACTTTACACAACAGTGGCAAGGCCATTAGAGAGTTACATGTGTCATTCCAAAGAAGTGATGATAAAACCATTAAAACACCTCTTCCTGTAACTGTCCATGCCACATATCTTATAAGGGGAAAATTTGTTAAAAATGTTGTTGGGCCTATTTTTTTCTCTTTACCTGCCTCTGTCAAGCCAGGCTCCCTTAGTTACTATGAGTCCAAATGTTCAGTGGTCATGTGATGCCTTAAACAGTTAGATAATATCTTTTAAAAAACCTTTGTATATAAATGTGAATATGTAATATTTAATGGCTAGTTTCTCTACTCTTTCCAAAACTAGAAGCAAGTACTGAGTACCACTGGAATGTTATGACTCCTTTTCTGCAGCACAGACAGTGCTCCTATTTCTTGCAATTCAAGATATGGGTTCTTCAAAGTAGTATTGGTGTATGACTGACTATTGACTACCATGGGTCTAGGTCCCGTGTTTTTATTTTATTTTTGTGGACGATAAGGACATATACCACTGTAGAGGGGGAAAGGAAATATTTCTTTGCCTCTTTGATAGTTTTAAAATACCATTTTTAAGCTGCTCATAGGTTTATAATATTAAACGCTATCCTGGAAGAGGTGCATTAGTGGGCAGAGCGTTCAAAGGTGTATAACCAACGATAAAATCACGTGATTTTCCTCACCATCTGTCTCTGCAATTGACCACATTGTATGACTACTACCTGTGTGTTGTGTTTATGTGATTTGCTATTTGAAATGTGTGCATTATTGGAATATATATGTTTCTTAAAGTAGCATTCTTTTAGCACCATTTGCAATAACCTCCCATTGTCTTAAATATTATAAAACTCAATATGAAAATTGCCAGACTGGTAAATATATGGAGTACAAATTATTGTATATCACAGAATAGATATAGCCAACTCATTGACAGCTCTCCTGAATCGTTTATTAATATTTGATTCATAGTGCAGTAACTGAATATATTGGCTTGAGCGACAAAAATGAACAAGTCAGATATAGAAAAAAATTGAAATACTTCTAGCGATGTAAAAATCAGATATAAGATTACTACAAAGATGTTAGCATTCAGCAATTGCACAACGCACCACCAGAGTCGAATGCAGAGAGTCGAAACAGATTGGAGAAACATATCCATATACCCTTACAATATGCATAACTCTGGACAAAGTTATGTATCTGTAGTTCATAATCAAGCATAGTAAATTTAAACAAAATTCAATCACTAAATCCTTATAACTAATAAAGTCAGATTCAGTACAACAAAAATTATTATTCCTTGTGTGTACCTCAGACGAATACGTACATAATAATGAGAAAACATCATATTTACAGCGTTAACCATCCAGTGAAAATACCGTCAAAAATTCCACCAAGGAGATTCTGCAGTTATTGGTTGAGACTCTGAGCGCCGCTGTTCACCAGTAAGGGAGAGAAACGCGACGACAGATACAGCCAGTCCAGCACTCCAGTTACACAGCACTGAACGCTGACAAATCAGAAGCACATTCAATGGGTCTGGACTGAACATTGCAAAGGCAGATATTCGCTGAAACTGACTCTGGTTTAACTATCAACGTTACCGGAATCAGGGGGTCAAATACAGAATCAAGACACGTTTCTTGACATAGAATCAGCGGCGTGTCCCCATCAGCATGAGATTGGCAGAAACTCAAAGGCGCCAGCACTGCAAAAGGCGAGCCCTGTTCTGCTTTATGTTGGTTACCGTTTGGGAGGCAGTTTCTGGGCAGACTCGCTACTCCATTCCCGAGGAAATGCAGAAAGGCTCCATTGTGGGGAATATCGCAAAGGATCTGGGGCTGGATATAAAGGAGCTCTCAGACCGCGGAGTCCGCGTTGTATCAAAAGGTAGGACGCAATATTTTGCTTTAAATGTTAAGAGCGGCCATTTAATCACAACGGAAAGAATAGACAGAGAGCAAATCTGTGGCCGGATCGAGAAGTGTCTGTTAACTTTTGAGATTATTGTTGAAGAAAAAATGAAGCTTTATAGAGTTGAAGTTGAAATCACAGATATTAATGACAATGCTCCCAACTTCCAGGCGGGAGAATCGGAAGTAAAAATCAGCGAGATAACGGCACCGGGATCGCGGTATCCCCTGCAGGAGGCGCAAGACCCAGATTTAGGGATAAATTCTCTCCAGAGCTACCACCTCAGCAGTAATAGGCATTTCTCCCTGGACGTGCAAACCGGATCAGATGGAGTTAAATATGCAGAACTGGTGATGGAAAAGTCTCTGGACCGCGAAGAACAAGCTGTTCATGATCTAATCCTCACAGCCACTGACGGGGGAGATCCAGTCAGGTCCGGCACTGCGCAAATCCGCGTTATTGTTCTCGATGCTAATGACCATGCACCAGTTTTCAGTCAGACGGTCTATAAAGTTAATGTTTTAGAAAATATGCCTCCGGGGTCCACGATGGTGACAGTGAAAGCGACTGATCCCGATGAAGGAATACACCAAGAGGTAAAATACTCAATCAGAAAGATAACTAATGAAGCTTCACAGATATTCCACTTGGATTCAAGGACGGGAGAATTAATAGTCGTGGGGAACTTGGATTTTGAAGAAGCTGCGTTATATGAAATCGAGGTGCAAGCCCATGACGGGGGAGGTCTTTTCGACAGATCCAGAATTGTGATCGTTGTTAGCGATGTGAATGACAACTCTCCAGAATTAACAATCACATCTCTCGTCAACTCGATCCCTGAGGACTCTCCCCCCGGGACTGTGATCGCCCTTTTAA